GTCCTGAAGTTAAAAATCATTTAGGATTTTCTCTGACATCCTTGAGTAACTGTAACATTACAAGACCTAGAATTTAAATTATACTAGCGTAAGTGGGTATATAATTTCTAAATGCCTGGTTTTAGTCAGCTTTGGATGAGCAACCACTGAGACCTCTAGTACAAATCTAATTTCTGTTCCAGTAAGCAAGATGAGTGGACCCGGAAAAACATCAAAGAATACAAGGATGACTCATTTTGGAGACATACAGGCTATGTTATGGCACAACTGGATGGGCTATACGTAGGGGCAATGAAGAGGGCTATATTAGAAGGAACAAAGGTAAGATTTTTAAGAAGCTGCTCAGAATTTATACGGTATGACAGTAATATTGAAAATCATCTTTAAAATAACATTCCAATTTAAAAGCAGATTAAAGCAGGACTAGAGTACAAATTCCTTGTGGACAAGCACTGTCATATCTATCATGTTATAGCACCTAACTCACTGTCTGACACAAAATCCAAGCTCAACATACAAATAGAACAACTTGGTTCTGTGTTTTCAATCTTCCATAATAACTGTACTCAGGAGGAGGTAACGTGATATGAATGTACTGTCTATTTAACTAACCTGTTAAAGCCAGTGCTTTGGACTATATGCTCATTAAGACAAAATGTCTGAGTGTACAAGTTCTGCATTCCTCACACTGTGCAACATTCACCTAAACACATATACACACGCAAACACACACATCATAATTTTGGGGGAAAGCTTTACTGAATCATTGAGGTTTCCAAGGTACGATTTGATATATTTTCAAAAATTATGGGTATTTTGATCCCTGGGTGCAATATATATATACTGGGCAATATGCAAAAAAAAATCAAAGCTTATAATTTTTAATCATATGAGTTCAGCTTCGCTAATACGATTAAAAAATGCAAATTAAAACCTAAATAAATAGATACTTTCTCACTTATCAATTTGGCAAAAATTCCAAACTGTGAAAGTGTACTCTGTTGGCAAAGTTATGGGGAAAAAAGGCACTTTCCTAAAATACTGGTGCAAATGCAAAATGGTACATCTACTATGGACAGGAATTTTGGCAATCTGTATGAAAATCATGTACTTATTTACCCTTTGACCCAGTAATCCCACTTCTAGTATTATCACAGAGGTACACTGGCAAAAATACAATATGGCATATGTGCAAGCCTATTTATTTGCAGAGAATTTGTATTAGCAAGAGCCTGAAAAGAGCCAGATATGCAGAGGACTGGCTGCAAAACTGATGTCGCTGTAAAAAGAAAGATAGATTTCCACGTATTGTTGAGGAGTGACCTTTGGGATTTGTTATTAAGAGTTAAAAAATAAGGTGAAGAGGGTGTATTGTGATCTACCTTTTATATAAGAAAGGAAAATAAAGATTGATAGACAATAGATTGATAGATAGATTTGCTTGTCTTTTCAAGAGTAAA